TCTTTCTTTCTTTCTTTCTTTCTTTCTTTCTTTCTTTCTTTCTTTCTTTTTCTATGTTATAAAAAGCTTGATCAGTACTCTTGTCAGCCCTTCCATAAAAGTTTGGTAGAATGGAACAGTAATCACATCTCGTCCTTCTCTTCTTAGGGAGACTTTTTATTGCTCCTTCAGTCTCCTTGTGTGTTATGACTTGTTTAAGTTGTTTGTGTTTTCGTGATTTAACTCTGGCAGGTCATATGTGTTTCATAATTTATCAAGTTCTTCCAGATTATCAAGATTTCTGGGCTATAAAAGTATCCCCTAACAGTTGTACACTTCATTAGAGAACTCTCTATTTGTACTATTTTGGGTCTTTTTTTTTCTTTTTTGTTAGGAATCAGTCTCATGTATCTATTGACTGTGTTGTGCTTGCTTGATTGTATGCATTGCTCTTTACATCTATATTTCATTAGTCTCTGCCATAAAGCTATGACAGTGGCTCACACCTTTAACCCCAGGGCTTGGGAGGCCAGCCTGGTCCACAGCGAGCGTTCAAGGACAGCCAGGACTACATAGAGAAACCCAGTCTCGAAAACCAAACCAAACCAAACCAAACCAAACCAAACCAAACCAAAACAAAACAAAACAAAACAAAAGACAGAACGCTCTGCCATAATATTTTTATTGTTGCTGCCGACTGCTTTTGAAGTTCCCTTGTTACTTTTCTAAGACTTTTAAGCACATGGCTGGCTATTGGAGACCTTTGGTTTTTTTATTAGTTTTATTCATTTTATTTGATGTGTCATTGTTTTGCCTACATGTATTTATGTGCATCCTTCGTGTGCTCGGTCCCAGAAAAAGCCAGAAGAAGGCATTGGCACCCCTGTATGAATGGTTGTGAACATCCATACAGGTGCTGAGAAACAAACACGGGTCCTCTGCCAGAGTGGCTCGTGCCCTTAACTGCTGAGCCGTATTTACTTTAAAATATTAGATCTATTAATTTTATTTCATGTGTGTAAGTGTTTTCCCGGTATGTAGGTGTACTGTGTGTAATCTTGGTACCCACAAAGGTCAGAAGAGGCAGTAGATTCACTAGAACCAGAGTCATAGATGGTTGTGAACCGTGACGTGAGTGCTGGGAATTGAACCTGGGCCCTCTGTGAGAGCAAAAAGTGATCTTATCAACTGAGCCATCTCTCCAGGTCCATTTTCACTTTTTCACGCAAACATTCAGTTACATATGTTTCTTTTAGAACTCACTTAGACATACCCTCAAAGGTCTGGAGAGTTGTGCTTTCATTTTCAATTGGCTCAAGGCTTTAAACACTTGGCTCACTAATTTTTTTCAGTTAACCACTGGTCATTCAGGCAGACACAGGAATTGAAAAAAAGCTGTTAACGTAAGTTATCTTTAAGTTGATATTCATGTGAGTATCATTATATAAGATAAATTTCTTTTTTTTAAAACTCTCTTAAATGATAATTTAGTTCTTTTCATAATGCAGATGCCAAAATATTCCGGTTTATACAAAAGCAAAATAACAAAAAAACCAAAAACATTTCTTAATATCAAAATATAAAGAAGTTTAAAAAACAGCAAACAAATACGAATAAAACAACTAGCAGGCTGGGTATGTTGGTGCATGCTTTTCATTCCAGAACTTGGGAACAGAGGCAGGTGGATCTGAGTTCAAGACATCTTCCACTGAATTTTTCAAAGTAAGAGCTTTAAAATTAAAAACAAAACAAAACAAAAACATCTCTATCATATTTAATTAAGCTGTTCTGGAATTTCAGTGAAGTTTCGTTAGTGATTATAGCACTTAAAAATAGCAATTTCTATAACATAAATGACATATTAGCAAAAATCTCATGCACGGAGAGGATTAAGCTGGAACCATAGGCTGAAGAATTATAATGTGCATAATCATGGTACCATAGTTATATTCAATAAGTATAAATGTAATATTTGCTTAAGTATGATGGAAGCTAATTTCATGGATACTTACAGTTCCAGGGCGAGGATACGGAATTCTACCTTGGTAGGATATCAGCTGGTGATTGGGCCCTTCTTTGTGGGCAAAAGGCCCATTGAATACCGTCTGTATATCAGATAAATGATACACACACACTGCCGAGCCTTTAAAAACAGAGCTGAAAATGAAAGCAAAGATTCTGTTTTATTTTTCTTTAAATATGGTACAAATGCCTGAGTGAGATGGCTGGTGGGTAACCATACCGCCCATCAAGTCCCACAAGATGGCTTGGACTCCGCTGTCACACAACATGAAAACAGGAAGCCAATGTCCACATGTCGTCCTCTGACCTCTCATGTGTGTTGTGGCACACATGTACACACACAACCACACACACACACACACACACACACACACACATATAAAACATAAAATGGATAAAGAAGCATGTCATAAAAGTACATAGTGCACATAAATAATGTTTAAATAAGAAGCTGATATTTACCATAGAAAGTTAAATGCTTTTGTGCACTTAGAAAAAAAAATGTAATCCTATCCAGTTATTTTGAAATAAGGCATAGCTACATAAAGCATTACTATATTTAATTACTTCACACAGGGAATAGACAGTAATAAGCTACAGTAAAGTTTTTAACATTTCCAGAAAAAATGGAATGATGGTATTTCCAATTAGTTTATTTCAGCAGCAGCAAACATTTAGTAATGATTGTCTAAAAACGTGAATTTGAGCACTCTGGCTAGGAAAGCAGATCACTGCCTTGCTCACTCAGCAATGAAGACGTTTCCTCCTGCAGCAGATGGGAATGAATACAGAGACCCACAGGCAAATATTATGCTGAGTGAAAGCCCTTGGAACACTTTGTCCAAAGCAAGATATCTCCATCAAATCTCTCCCTTATGGGGCTCAGGGAATCTAGTGGTAGATGAAAGAGAATAAGAGCCGGAAGGGCAAGGGGAATACCAGGAAAGCAAGGCCCATGTGTGCTTTAAGATTATTAAACTCACAGAGAATGAGGCCTGGGGCTGCATCAGATGGGGAGCAAGAGCTGAAAGTAGTAAACCTCCACTCTTTTCCCCAGCCCCAAAGCTATCTCCAATTGAAAACCACTTGCAAATGAAAATTTAGTTTACTCTACAAAAGTTTCACTGACGAAACAAACGACTTTCAAGAGCAGGCAGCATCCCCAGTGGTAGATGGCCAACAGAAAGCAAGCTTTGTAGGTTCCTTGTTGTGTCGGGGCTTTTCCTTTCAAAAACCAAAATTTATTTTATTATTCTATATTTTCATATTGATTTACTTATATGTTCTTTCTCGTTTTTAATCCAACAGGTCCTTTGTTTACATAGTATGGCTTCCAGATTTATAACTTTTCTAAGATTCCTAAGTGTATAGTATGTGAGTGGCTTTGTGTTTCTTGTGTCTTCAATTGGGCTCTTTCCTTCAGTTTGTTTGTTTTGACGAATTCTGGTGAGTTACTTTTTGTTTCCTCGTATTATATTGTATTTTATTATTATCCCTTACAAACTTATTTGTTTTCTAATGAGAGAAAAAAGAAGCTGGATTTAGATTGGGGTGTGAGTGTGAGGGAGAATTTGAAGACGCAGAGGGAGAGAAACCATAATTAAGATATATGATGTGAGAAAAATAATCTATTTTTAGTAAATGAAAAAATAAAAACAAAAAATAAACAAAATATGAATTTTAATTCTAAACAACCATGAACAGCATTATGATTTCACTCTGAGATAACTCCCATTAACATGTGAATATTATGCCTTTTTATGGTAGTATTAAAATAACTCCAGTGTTCTTCCATGATTTTCTGATTAACAGTTGGCGAAGTCTATGCTGTCTTTATTTGTGTATTTTCCATTTTATTCACTCCATGAAAAATGGTCCAGAGATGAGGAGAGAGCGCAATCCATAAAGCACTGCCCATGCAAACATGAGAACCCAAGTTCAATCCCAGTACCCACGCAACAAACAACAAAAGCCATAATTAGTGAAGTGTGGCCATGACTCCATTGAACAGGAGGCATAGACAGGTAGATAACTGGGTCTCACCGCCCAGGCTATCCTGCCCTTTTGGTGAATCCAGGTCTCTGGAAGTGTGTGTCTCAAAAAAAAAAAAAAAAAAAAAAAAAAAAGTAAGATAATGCCTCCTGTGGCAGAACATCTGACTTTTTGTTTTCTGGCTTCCACACCCACACATTAACATAGCTTCATGGGTTCCCCCACCCCCATACACGTGAACTGACACCACACAGCATGCATGGGAAAACAGGCATGTGGGTACACTCATGTTCCCTCAAAGGATCTAAAACTATTTCAAATTTGTTTAAATCCTTAATAAAAATGATTCCCATTATTATTAGGACAGAATAATTGAGAATCATGTTTCTCTACTAAATAAGACTCCAAACTAGAAGCTTAATAGAAAAAGCTTTGCATGGAAATAAAGCTACATTATTAGCCATTAATAGCAGTAGTTATAAATGGTAATTTCTAATGTTTAATACTCAAGTTACTTTTTGACAAAGATAAACTAGAAAATATTTTACTAAAACCAATGTTATAGAAAATTTGATTATTTCGCTGTCCAATTCTTTTCCTTTCTGTTCCTTTCCTTTTTTTTTTTCAAGACACCGTTTCTCTGGGTAACAAGCCATGGCTGTCCTGCAACTGGTTTTGTATACCAGGCTGGCCTTGAATTCACAGAGATCTGCCTGCTTCTGCCTCCCAAGTGCTGGGGTCAAAGGCTTTCATAATACTTTCCCTACTGCAGTTCAGTTCTTGATGAACTGAAGTGAGAATAATCATTTGCTAGAACAGTAGCTAAAGCACAACATCAAGGACATCTGACGAGATGTCTTTCGGTGCAATCATAAATGATAGATAATCAATATTCTTGCCAATTTGCTTATTTTGAAAAACTCATCTAAATTTACAATTGCAATACATTTTATGATCTTTCCCCCCGCTTTCTGTGTCTTGTGTATGAGCAAGTGCACGTGTGTATATGTGTATACCTACTGTGTGCAGGTGTGTGCATTTATGCATGCAAATATCAAAGGATGACAACAGGCATCTTGTTCTTTCATTTCTGGCCATATTCCCTTAATTCAGGTCTCACAAAGAACCTAATGTTTGCTGTTTGGTGAAACTAGTTAGCCAGCAAGCTCCCCAGGCCCCACCTCTCTCTCTACATCCCAATGAACATAATAGCTATACTGCCACACTTGGCATTTGCATAGGTATCAGGGATCTAAGTAAGGGACTCATGAAAGCAAGACGTCTTTCTCAGGGAGGTGTCTCCCCAGGCTCTTACCACATTTAAAAGTCACTTAGAAAAGAATACTTTCAATCACTGTTTTGAAGTTTTCTGATAAATAAAAAGGAATCAATACACCCTACAGAATGGCCCAAGAGACATGGCTAGAGTACAAGGCTGAATTCACACTAACACTAGAGTACAAAACTAATCATCAGAAATGTACAAAGTAAAAATTGAGGATATGGGAAAAGTAGTGCAAAACTCAATAAAGTTGCCATTGGACTCCAAGTCAAACTAGAAAATACTAAACCTATTTTGAAATGCAAAAAAATTGTCATATGACAGAAAAATGGAACCAGTTCAGTTTTTATTAGAGGCTCATAGTCATCACTTTAGATTAGTGAAAAAAATGAAAGTTATTTCAATGTACCTTCAAACATTTTTTAAAGTTTTCCTGGTGCACATTTGTTATAAAATTTTAAATAATTAAGTGTGTATGCCTCCATGAATTGTAGGTATATACGTGTGCTACCCAAAATCGAGGAAAGAAACATATTCATCACTCACCAAAACCTAAGACTCTAAAGAGTTTATTAGATATATTACTCTTTAGTTTTTATATTTACATGAAATACTTCAAGCTTTTTACTTCTTCAATTTAACACATAGGTTTTTTTTTCTTCTTCTAGATAACTACATGGATTTGTTTAAGATGATCTTTGCAAACTATTTTGGAAACATTTGAGATCATATACATTTTAGTTTGGCAAAAATAAGTAAAATGGGAACGGACTAACAGAACAGTGGTAGCTGTTTAATAATTACCTTGACGTGGTAAAGATGCCATACACGAGGGTGGTCCTTGGATTGTCGGTTTCCAGCAGAAACACATCCTCTATACAAAGAAAGACAACATTCTCTTAAGTTTCCAAGATTTTAATAGCTTATTTTTAATTACTCTAAAACAATAATTTCAAATATAAAAAGTAGTTCTCAGGAAGGTATTTTTGAAAAGTACAACTTGGCATAATGTGATGGTAAGTGATTGGCAACTTAAATAAAATGTTAGCCTGGCACTGAGGGCATTTATGTAAACTGTATCTCTATGGAAATGAAGATGTATAAATACTAAGCAGAAAACACGATATAGTCTAATCCATAGACTAGAACTTTGAAAACCTTGATTTTTTTTCAAGGGTGAAGAGAAAACAAACCTTAACCGTAGAGTTCTTGGGAGGAATACCACATATGCTTTCCTGTTGCCTGCTTTTGTGTTTTCTCAAAATCCGTTTCTGATGATACACTAGTTTTAATTTAAAAATATGGCAACTCTCAATTTCCCTTTAACCTAAGATTTAAAGTTGCAATGATAAAGATAATCTGCACAGGGCCCTCCCTTCATAAGAACAAAACTTTACTTATGCTCATGCTCAAAATTGCCGGGACTACCTTACCTAACCATTCCTCTAACAAGACTTTACATCCTAAAGCAGATTCAGATGTATTTATAATACAATAAAGTAAAACATCAGTATTGAGCCCTGAAGAATCACAGACTACCTGATAGAAAAATGCCTTTTAAGGGGACCAACAGCCTCCTCTGGGTTTGTAACTTTTTAACCACTGAAATTTTGCATGTCATTATGGATATTTATTGCTTACCACAACATATGCCTCAAAGTCTGAGAAAAAAAAACTATATTATACATTTCAACGGATAATGTCTGAAAAAGAGTTATGTCTTAATAACTCTTAATTATCACAGTGTTATGATGTATAACAAAGTACTTCAACTACAGAGAGCTATTCCTTGCTGCACTATTAATCCTTATTTTATCTGGAGATCATAGTCCTTCTTTCACAGGAAGAATACTTAATCTGAATTAGCAAGAAGAAATAAGATGGAAGCATAACTCTTGTAATTTATAATTGAACACATTTTCTTAAACTTTATTAAATATCCTACTAAACACAGTGGTTATATAACTATATAAATATATCTGTGTGTATGTATGTTAAAGGAGAATATTACATAATAAAATAATTTTTAAAATATTTAAATTTTGATTTATTGCCAGGTGCAGTGGCACATGCCTGTAATCCCAGCAATCAGGGAAGCGGAGGCTGTTGGCTCTCTGTGAGATCGAGGCCAGCCTGGTCTACAAAGTGAGTCCAGGACAGCCAAGGCTACACAGAGAAACCCTGTCTTGAAAAACAAGAAAAAAAAAAGGACTTATTTAGATCAGGCTATTACAACTTTATATAATATAAATGCATTTATTAAAAAATAGAACAATCATGCATGTATATAAATTATTGAAGTCCTTCCAACCTACATTCATTCATGTTTTCAGTGCACTCAACGGTGAAAGAAATTACTTAAATATTTAAAGACACCAGTGAGCAGAGTAAATAGTCAGAGAAGACACATTCTCTCTGACACTTTGTTAAGACACCTGATACTCTTAACGTCCTTCCCAGACACAATGTTCACTCTCACATCCACGAACCTAATTCATCAAAATGAGTCTCTGGGCCATCTTCATCTGTGACTGAGCACACAAGTCTTGCCTTTAAGAATGTGGTCCACTTGTTGACAAGACTACGCTGTCCGCCAGTGTCATTCTGAAAGAATTTTATTAATACAATTTAGATGATTTGGAGATACACTTGTGTGCTAAAAATTCAACTAAACTCTTATTCATAATTTATTACAATCTGAAAATTAGAAAGGTTAATCATCAATAAAGAAAAGCTGGGATCTATAATATCTTATGATTAATCTTTTATAGTAGAATGTCAACTGGAATTGAACTGTGTGGAGATATAAATATATGGCTCAGATTTTTACAATATGTGACAGAAATATTCATGTTTTGAATATATAACTGTCTGCCCCTTGCTGAGGCAATTACTCATTTTCTTACATAAAAATAACATTTACTGTATACATTTGGCTTTCAGAGCTCACTATGTTCAGGAGAGTGGGTATGCCCGTATCAGATGGTGCCAGATAGTTCTATTTTATCTCCATTTCTCAGCATTTCCCCTCATCCTTAGCATTTCTGAGTGGATTGTATATTATATACATATTCATGGACAATAAACAGATCATCGCTTTTGATCTTTCGAATAGTCTACTGATGACTTTTGTTTTCCTCTGAGTCCAATAGCCTTTTTGTATCTGCTAACTTTGCTATGTTGAACCAAATTATTGAGAAACAGCTGAGTTCTAGTCAATAGAATATTGAAATATTTAAAGATAGATAGACATAGATATTTCAATAAATATATTTGATAAAATTATCATAAATAAACCAATGGAATGTATAAAGATCCCATAGAAGATTATATCATTGTTTTTATATGTACTGCTAATACAGTGATACTTTGCTCATTAAAATAATAAAAGCATATCTTGATTTTTCATAATTACATGTGGCTCCACCATAATTATGTTTTACTGATATTCAAATGTATCTTTTTTACAAGAATTATTTTGTTTCCTGTGGTAATATACAATTTCCCATTTGTTTCAATGCAGCACAGTTCAGAGTTGCAAAATTAGTTCTATGTTGAAAAAAAATTAAACAAAGTATTTTCCTAAATGCTTTTACTGAAATATGATATAATTATCTCACACAAACTGTAAAGGGCATTATTCACTAAAAAAAAATATCTTTTTCTATATTTTATTCAGTGATAATAGTAAATAATAAAAATGCTGAAATACTGAAAAACATTACATAATTTAGAGTCTTTCTTTAAATAGAAATTCCAGTGGCCTTACAGGACATATTCTCGCAATCATGGAATGAATCTGCTTTGTGCTCCTGTTGTTGTCGGTCAGTTTCTCTTTGAAGAAGAAATACACCTTGGCATCATTGGGATCAGTGCCATCTGGGATTACGTGTGCATCCACAAACATAGGTTCTGCAGAGGAAAGGCACTTACTGTGATCTCACGATAAAAACCTACCCGCTGCTCTTTAAAATAGGCGATAGATGCATTTCTTTCCCACCAGTGAATAATCCGCTGTTCATAGGCAAGATTTCAAGAAGCAATGATAAGAGATCAACATACCTCACAGAGAGTATCAAATGGGACAAATAGCTTTAGTTAAACAGACCAATGTTTGGTTTCTTCAATGGTTTGCTTCTCATGGAGAAGCAAACTGCTCAATTTTTTCAAAATTATTTTTTTATAATTTATTCATTTTATAACCTGATTGTAGTCCTCTCTCTCATCTCCTCCCAGTTCCACCCTTCCTCCCCATCCCCCTTATTTCCCTCCCCCATTTCTCAAAAAAGGGGAGCCCTCCTCTCCTACTATCTGACCTTAGCCTATCAAGTCCCATCAGGACTGCCTGTTTCCTCTTTCTCTGTGTTCTGGTAATGCCCCGTGGGGGAAGTGATCAAAGATCAGGCAACAGAGTCCATGTCAGAGACAGCCCCTGCTCCCCTTACTAGAGAACCCACATGAAGACTGAGCTACCTATAGGCTACATCTGAACAGGAGGTCTAGGTCCTCTTCATACATGGTTCTTTGTTAGTACATCAGTCTGCAGGTTCCCACGGGACCTGATTTGTTAGCTTTGTTGTTCTCCTTGTGGCGCTCCTGTTCCCTCCAAGTCTTTCTATCTCTCTTTTTTTTTTCCATAATATTCCCTGCACTCTGCCCAAAGTTTGGCTATGGGTCTAACATCTGCTTCCATACCCTGCTTGATAGAGTCTTTCAGAGGCCCTCTGTGGAAGGCTACTGACCTGTTCCTTGTCTTCTACTTCCGATATCTAACCTATTTGACCTTCTGAATGAGGATTAAGCCTCTTTCCTAGGATTTTCCTTTTTGTCTAGCTTCTTTAGGACTATAGATTTTAGTATGTTTATCCTATATTATATGGATAATATCTATCTATAAGTGAGTATATAGCATGTGAGTCTTTCTGCTACCTCACTCAGGATGATCTCTTCTAGTTCCATCCATTTGCCTTTAAATTTCATGATTTTCTTGTTTTTAGTTGCTGAGTAGATGTATTACACTGTGTAGATATTCTACAATTTTTATATCCATTTCTCCCTTGAGGGACACCTATATTGTTTCCAAAGTCTGAATATAATGACTACAGGTGCTATGAACATAGTTGAGCAAATGCCCTTGTGTGGTTGAGTATCTTTCAGATATATGCTCAGAAGTGGAATAGCTGGATCTTTAGGTAGCACTATTTCTAATTTTCTGAGAAAGTGCCAGATTGATTTCCAAAGTGGTTTAGGCAGGCCCCATGTCTAACAATAGATGGCCAACTACAAAATGAATTCAGTGGTATCTTTGGAGGGTCTTTTTCTCCTATTGCTAAGTCGGGGAGTTGTTTTGTTTTGTGTTATTTACGTTATAGGTCCTTTAGATATATATTATGTCTTTTGGTTTCATGTTTTTATGGCACTCCTGTGTGAGCAGATGTGTGTATCTCTGTGTTTCCATGAGTTTCTTATGCTTTTTCTTTGGATCTTTTCCATGACTGATTGTTTTGTCCTTTTCCAATTTGTTTGTTTTTATTGTAACTTACAGCATTTTGCTTTATTAATATTTCTTAGATGTCTTTGTCAGAGGGTGTGAATCTTGATGGGAGAAAAGATGGAGAGGAACTGAGAGGAGTTGAGGGAGGAGAAACTCTAATTAGAATATACTGTATACTATTTTCAATAAACGGAAACAAAACATAACTTTAATCAGGAAAGAATAATAAGGCAAGGAGGAAGAGAAGTAAGAAGAACAAGAAGAGGAGGAGGAGGAAGAGAGAACAAGAAATAACTGCTGATCGGGCATCAAAAACCTGACACTGTTTTTCCGTAAAACACAGCAAATTAAATTAAAAGGACACTTCCCAATGGGAAAAATATACTTGGTGCAGACATAGAGGGCTTCTTTATTTCAGGAACAATATAACTCTTAGAATATTTTATTTCTAGATGTACTGGCAGAATAATTTGAAGAAGAAAAACGACAATCATATGTTCCACCATCAATGAAATAAAAGGCTCAATTTTGATGATTCATGCTAACCTGCGTTATTAACTAAACGGGCAATTTAGAGTGAGCTTGCAAGTTTCCTGACGGCAGGATGGCAAGTATTTGGTGGCTTCTTCCTCCTCTACGTGACTGAAACTGATCAGAATCTTACAGGAAAATCAAATCAGCCTTATTTTAGGGTGTGAACTCCTTTTGACCCTGAGAAATTGAACCAACTAAACAGGATTAACAGAAAGTCATTGTAACATTGATTTCTATTTAATGTTAGTCAATTCCCGAATATTCTTTAATTTTGAGTCTTAGTGTTAACTAAAACAAAGAATTTATTCATATGAACCATCCATTATGCATTGTCATGAATTAGAAGAATTCCTTGATTTAGAATTATGGAAATGCAAAAGCAATTAAGAGAACTAAAGCCATATTTAACTGGGATATACTACCATTTAAGAAGTGGAGGTATGCATGATATGTATCGCTGACATTTGTACTCACCTAGTTCTTTGACTACTGTTTCATAATTAATAACAATTTGAATAAGGATATGGCTATTTATCTTAGATATTTGTCACCTAGTGTAGAGAATTATAACTATTTATGTCAAAGTCTGATACTTGAGATTTTAACTACTTTCCCTATTACCAGCACAGAATTAAATTCTAGTTTAAATAAAGCAAGATATCAAAGGGAGAAAACACAGTAAATGTTTTCTTACCACTCAGCCATTTTGAATTGTGTTGATCGGTTCGGACTGCGTTCCTCTTAGTTAAACTTCGAAAAATAGCAGCATCTGTTCCCATGAAATCTATGTACATTCCTGAGAAGAGTTCCTCATCTATGGAAAAAGAGAAATCCTAATGCCTTTTGAACTTATTTTAAAGTTCAAGGAGGTTTAACTTAATATTTCATCCTAATTAGGTTGGTATATGATTTAGTTTCTGTTCCCTACCAAATGTACAAAGAACTAATATTGATATGCTCTTATTGTGATGATTCTTTATTTTTCAAGCAAATCCAATAATTACTTGTTCTAATTTAAGCAAGTAAGCAACATACTTGGATTCAGGGCAACATCATTCAACACACGAATCTTAATATTTTCATTTATAAATGATAAGAAATGAGCTATGATCTTAATAGTACTCATCACATGATCAACTTCTAAGATTTTTATCTAAAAGACAGACATAATACTTATACTATTTTTATTGCTTGATGACACAGAAACTACATTAAATTATAAAATATATTATTGATGAACAAACTAGTCATTCAAAATCTACATTTTGATCTTTAGGGCTACAAGGTTCCTCATAACATAAACACAGCCTACTTTTTCGGCAGTGACTCTGGTAAAAAAAAAGTGATAGGAAAGAAACAATGTCTGAAATTAAACAGTTTGTTATACGTGCTCATTTCAATTAGTTTATACACATATATACAAATATATGATATACGTATCATTAGATATACGTGTCATTAGAAACTTACTCACTTTGAAGATTCATCTGAATTCTTATCCTTCGTAAGGAGCAGTAAACACTGACTTGGTGAGAAGTGATCTGACCACCTAGCTCTAAACAGCTGAACTATTTGAGGAAGAATCAGTTTCCTTGGGTTTGCCCCATTGACCTGAAGTACATCTGTGCTCTCGATTACTCTCAGATTTACCTTCTAGCTGTGGCCTTTTTTTGCAGGACTGGGCCATCTGAAATACTCTTTATAATACCTGCTGGACAGGACAGACTGCAGAATGAAGCATTTCTAAAATGAGTTCATCAGATTTTGAACTAGGCCCCTAGCAGTTACAGAGCAGGCATGACAGGCATCTTGTCACCCATTTCTCCTACCCAGGTGGGACACAAAGACCATGGCAACATTTGAGAGAGTGATAATAAAGATAAGAATGAAACTTTTGGGGGGGGAAGTTCAGCTGTTTAAACATTTGTTTGAATATCTGCTGTGTATATAGATTTCGCTAATAAGCCAATGTAATACAGAATTAATTCCCATTTTATAACTCATTAGTCATAAAACCATGGGTTGTAATCCCTACTGTGTAGTAACAGTGATGAGCACATCACTCAATTATAAACTCATATTTTGGCCTACAGCTTTCTAGCCTTATTGCATATAACACTATCAATTATATTTTAAGTCTTCCAAAAATCTTGCATGTGAAACTGATTTAATTTCTTGCTTCATATTCATAGCAGAGAGAAAAATTCCTGTTTCATTTTGTATAAATAATAAGTTCTTAAGTAATAACATTTTGGAAAGAATTTTGAGAGTTTTCAGGATTACTTTATAGGGTTATAAGCACATAAGCTTGTGCCTTTTGACTTTACTCAAATATGTTTTGCTCTATAACTGTAAAAAACTCATTCAAAAGGCTTCAAAAATCGTTTGAGAATTTTTAAAAATCATAACATCTGACTACTTTGTAGTCCTACATTAAGGACCCTAAGTAGTAAAAGACATTAGACGTGCTAGTAGATTAGAGGTTTTAAGTGGGTTGTAAAACACCAAGTTATTCAATTTTGTTATTTATTTTATTATCTATCTATCTATCCATCCATCTATCTATCTATCTATCTATCTATCTATCTATCTATCTATCTATATCTATTTATTTATTTATTTTGAGGCGGGGTTTCTCAGTGTAGCCTTGGCTGTCCGACTCATTTTTGTAGACCAGGCTGGACTCAAACTCACAGAGATCTGCCTGCCTCTGCCTCTCCAGTGCTGGGATTACAGGCATGCACCACCATGCCCAGATAACCAAGTTATTCTAATTCAGAACATTTCTTGGCATTTAACTGATAGAAGTATTTCAAACACCTGTATTATTTAGTGACTTCAACCAAATGGAAAGGGCAAACCTTATAACACAGTGAGAGTTATGAGAGGTTATTTTAGGGTGATAACCTTTTGGAGAGGCAAATAAGAACACACAAAGTTACATGATCTTCTCATGTACATATTTAAACATTTTAAATAAACTGACCCATGTGTGAGCTTTGTGTTCTTTACTATTTGAGCCCCTCCCTCTCTCATTTCCTACTTACTGATCATAACGGACACAGTGTTCACATTGGGGTTGAAAGAGCATCGTCCTTTTCCAGATTCACATTTAGAGTCAATCAGGAAAACTTGGTCCTTTGTATTAGAAAAAGGTATCAGATGATTAGTACAATGATAAGACAATAAGTACAATGAAACATAATTATAATTAATTTATTTTAAATGATTATTATTTAACAAAACAATCTATTTTCAAAAGTATTTTTCTACTTCTGTGTTTCCAACATGTTGTATTAACACTTAACTGTCCTGTAGGAAATTAGGCTCTGATCTCAGCAGGGCTAACTCTCATCCTCCTTTACAGCCCCCCAAAAATACTGATGATGGAAGCATGAGTTCTTCTTAAACCAATATCGTCAAAGGTCACTTGAAAATCTAAAACCATTATATATGTAATTAGAAACTTTAGCAGAGTTCAGGGAATTTTATGAAAGAAGGGGAAAATGAAAAGACTTGGAGGGGACAGGAGCTCCACAGGAGAGCAACAGAGACAAAAAAAAAAACTGAGCTCTTGGGGGGCACTGCAGAGAATGATACTCCAACTAAGGACAATGCATAGAGAGGACCTAAAACCCTGGCTCAGATGTAGCCCATAGACTCAGTATCCAAGTGGGATCTATAGTAAAGTGAGCAGGGTCATGAACTCAGTGACAGACTCTCGGATCACCTTACCCTTGGGGTGGGGGTGTAGCCTTGCCAGGTCACAGAGGAAGGCAAGGCAAACAGTCCTGATGAGACCTGATGGGTTAGTAAGGGGAGGAGGACCTCCCCTATCAGTGGACTATGGGAGGAGCATGGAGGGAGAAAAGAGAAGGAGGATGGATTGATAGGAGAGGGAGGGGACCACAGCTGGGATACAAATTGAATTAATTGAAAGAAATGATAATAATAATCTTTTTTTTTAAAAAAAGAAGTGTTTGTAGAACCCTATCCAAAGGAAAAGAAGTAATGACAACATAATAATCTATGCAATGATGACAATGTTTCTAAAATTAGCCTTTTTAAAATTAAAATTCTATGTTATAGGAGGGAGGGTGGGATTGGAAAGGGATGACTGAGGGGGCTACAGCTGGAATACAAAGTAAATAAACTGTAATTAACAAAACATGAATAATTTTTTAAAAACAAAAATTTCTGTTACTACTTAATTTTTGTGTAACAAAAATTATAATATTTAATTTTACAATATTTAAAATTATAACATTAAAATATCATGTATTCAACTATCTGTTTATTAAAAATTTTGGTCTACTTGATGATGAACTAAACACTGGTAATATAATAAACAAAATCTTGGTCATTGAATAATTTATATTCTAATGAGAATGATGGAAATTAAAGAAAACAAAATACAAACATAGGTTATATAATGCTCTGTTCATTGCTTAATAGAAAAAGAGTGCAGATAGATGAAATAGGAAAGACTTGAAATTATGAAGCAGTAAATTCAGTCTGTTATGTGGTGCTCAGTGAACAGCACTAAGGTAATCATTTTATAAAAGGGCATACTGGCATTTTCATATATCAACTTAGTACAAACTATTACTAAATTATAAGGGCAAAGAAAAATGAACACTTTTGTGGATTACATCAGATGATGGAGAACCTTAATTATCAAGTTAAAGTTTTTGAAAGCTATCCTGAATAAATATAGTCTCATAATATTTTTGAATGTAGAGATAAAGTGACCAGAACTCTGCTCCAGAAATGATTGATCATACTTCTGCTTTGGATGGTAATACTCCCCAAAGTCATAGACTGTCTAACACAAATCCCTGTAGCAGACATTAGAAACTTTTGTTCTTTCTTCCTTCCTTCCTTCCTTCCTTCCTTCCTTCCTTCCTTCCTTCCTTCCTTCCTTCCTTC